ATAACCGTGGTTAGAGTGTTGTTTCTGAAAAACGAGGTGGTACATTGATATTTATTCTGCTTCCTTGTTTCGTTCTTACTAACGATAGGACTGAGAGACTATTTCTCACATAAATAGCTAGAAAATAAAACTAACAATTCAACAATTCCAACCTGAAAATTCTGACAATGTTGCATTCTATGTATGGGCATTAAAGTAACGTCAGAAGACAGCTTGAACAAATTTTTTTAAGTGCACAATAATTACGTGCACATGAAGAAAATTAAGTGCACATGAGAGATATCTTTCATGAAAGGCTTATTATTACCTTTATGAGGATCCTCATTTTGAGGCTAATAATGGCAAAAGCTTTTAACTTATGCCCTTAAATGTTAACTTATTATATTAAATATGAATTTCGTGTTGACATCTACAGTAGTCAAAATCTTGAAATAGTGATAACATTCCCTGTATCTCCTTCTTGAATGCGACCATCCAAAGAGCCAGCCTCTTTCTAAGCGCGTCCGTCTGATTTCTTACTATAAAAATACTTTTGCGCAAAAACATTGAAGAAGGATATTAAGTTCACTGAAAGGATTAGATACGTTCGACATATATACAAGCGCAGCTCACCATCCAGCAAAGGTTCTATTAAAACAGATTATCATTCTCTTTGAAATTATTCTACTTGCTTCCTCAGTTGAGAGAAGCGCGAAGGAGCCTCCACTTTCGATAGCCACCTCAGCGCCCTTCCGCGTGCAGAAGAAGACATTGGTGTCGCGAATCCACGGTGTTACATAGTGTCGCAACAACCTTAATCCTTTGCTCTGTGATTTAAGTTCCGATGGCGCGTGCTATAAACGAGGTTGGTCACACGTCGAGCCATTTCACAGTTCGGCTAAGCGTTCGAAGTTATGACAATCGCACACGTCTTATGGCATATAAAAACACATGTAAGGTGCAACTGGTTTAATTTTGTAAGATGTTTGACAAATAATTACAAGCGATTTATCGGTGAACAAGACGGGTTTATTATCTTAAAGCAAATAATAAATTAACAACATTTTATTTTATTTTATATTACTAACGTTTCGAAAAAGTTTACGGAAAATTGATAATCTTCGGTCGTACGGTATCTTTTGAAGCATATTGGTACGTGCAATGCAACATTACATCTTTTGCACTGCCACGTTGTTTCGCTACGTTTCTCGCGTCTCGTACAAACTTTACGCGCTCTTGATGACTTTGATTTCGATGGTGCTGGGTCAATGTGTTTGGAAAGATGACCGCAATGTTGCGCGTGTAGTCTCTGTGGCAAATCTCCGTTCGATAATCGTCCTCGTCCTTTATATTCTTGCAACGGTACATTTTTTCGTAATGATTCGACTATACCGATTCTATATTTAGCGTAACTATATTTTTTTCTACTATTCATTTTATCGAACAAAATGTAGGAGTTAAGAAGTGCAATACCAAACGCGTAAAAGAAAAGTTTTCGGTATCCTTCCGCATATTTTTTGATAACAGGGAAGCATACTAGCATTTGGTCTTGCCAATCAATTCCAATAATTCCTTTGTTGTATTCGATGACACGTTTTGGTTTTAAGGAAGGATTGAATTGATCTTTACCTTGTTCAGTCATTTTTGCTGTTTCGTGTTTTGTAGAAATAATATAAATGTCTCGTTTATATTTCCATTTTAATGTCAGTGTTCCATTACAGCTCCTCATTCTACTTTCCCTGTTTTTTTAACTTTGCTTTAACAAAATCGTTTGGCATATTCTTTCTGTTCAGGCGTATTGTCACAATGGCATTAGTTTTACTGTTACGTAAAGTTAGAAATAGTTTTGACGAAGAGTACCAATTATGTAAGTATAACGTATGTCCTTTGTGTAACTCTGACTGTGATACCTCATTGACGACTGTCATTAGATGCACTGTCATTAGAATTTATTTTATCACTACCTGTGTATATTTTAAAGTCAGAACAATAACCCGATTCTGACTCACGTAATTTAGAAAATTGAATGCTGAATTTCGCCCTTTTCGATGGATTAAGTTGCTTATAAGCGTCTCTCATATTTCATTAGCGATTCGGTGATAGCAATGTCTTCCTCCATTATATACGCTTCTTTAAATTTTTTATTAAAAAGATTCGTCACAGATTTTATTCTGTGTAATTTATCTGTATGGTCAAGCGTAATGTCTTCTAAAAATGCAAAAATCTGGTACTTTACAGAAATCTTTTAAATCACATCGTTTCTCTAAATATTGGCGTTTCTATAACTTTGCTGGACCAATTCATTTGGATTGTTATTTTTTTACCTGAGCCATTATAATACATTTTTATTTCATTAAAATCTACAGGAAACCAAGTTTCGTCGATTCGTCTCTGTTACGATATTTTCCCAGACCATATTATCAAATATTATATTAAAAATATCCAATTCTGTTTTGTTTGCACCGAACTGATATAAAATTATTTTCTTTCTTCCAAATTCATTACTCCGATAGTTGATAATTAATGCGGTCTTGATCGTCGGTATCGTCTTCAATAACCAGTCGCTTACAACGTTTTCTTTTCGTGCAGTGATTAGTGGAAAAAAAATAAAATATCGCTGCTGTTGCTGTCACTCCTAAAAATATCCAAAAAATCATTATTTGCAATGTCAGCACAATTCTCGTTGTCCTCGTCAACGCTAAAGTTCCTTTTCGAAGACATTTTTCAGAGATATTTTTTTGCTATGTTTAGAAAATTTATTTGAACGCGCAAATGTGGTCAAGAATAACGCGTAACTGAGACAAAAAGACATCGGCAAAATTAAAACAACGAGTCTGACCAGTGTTGTTTACGTTTGACCCAATTTTCTTACCACGAGTCTTATACGATATTTGCCTCGCTCTGAATCCTGGCTTTAAAGATATTCATTAAGAACACTGGATATTTCCGAACTAGTGATCTGTCCAGATAAATCAAGGCAATAAAGAGGTTCTTCCCTAAAATGTTCATCTTCAGAATATCTCATGAAACAAAGTAAAGTAGCACGTTTACGTACGTCGCTTGATTTATCAAGTTGAATCACAAAATATGTCGATCTTTTTATTCCTTTAGCAATTTGCTTTTCGATATACTTGGCCATATCAATAATTCTCTGGATGATGTTATCCGAAATTGCTATAGCGTCAAGTTTTTGTGCAATTCGAGGACCCAAAATTTCTGCACCGATATCTAGAATGCAAGACTCTATCAATTTGCAATAGTAAACTGTTTCTTCACTTTCGAGATTTGAAGAGCAACTAGTCATCTTCTTCGTTTGAATTTTTTGACTTTTCATCTGGTTGTGTAATTTTTCAAAAGAATGCTGTGGTTTTCAATAAGCTCGCTATGCCTAACATGTTGACGAGTGAGTTTGCAACGTTTGTCGTAGCTTCTAGCTTCGTTCGATAAGATTTCAGAATATGTTACACACATGGAACTTGGCGATACTTGTTTTCTTCTTTCACGTGTTTTGAAGTGATACATTTTCGTTTCACTATTTTTTCTAAACTCTCTTTTGCTGTTTTCTCTCGCTAATTCGATTCTACTTTTTTAATTCTGCTCCATTTTCAATCTGTTTAGCTGTTTTCTCATTCCCATTGCCATTCCTTTTTCCCTTTTTCCTATTCGCAGTCCGATTATTACGTCGCAGCTTTATGTTTCAACTGATTGAAATCAGCCGAAATAATAAATTTCGCTCCTAAAACGCACTGTTTTTCTTCTCTTCACATGTTTTGAGTTCTAGATCTTGACAAAATTCAATAGCTTCTTACAATTATAAAATTGCACGTGCGTTATTGAGAAATTGGAAGCAGTATACAGGCGTCATTTTTTTGGATAAAAGTATAGCCTCGTACCTTAAAATTTGTAAATCTATACACGGTCTGTAGAAAGATAAGAAAAATATACGGAATAACATTTTTGCATTTTCGGCTTAGTTTTCGAGAAAATTGAGTTTGACAATTTATCAAGTATACTTGAACATTGTTAATTCCAGATTGGACAGCACTAAATGATCGACAGGATATCATTCTACGTACAAAGCGTTTTGTGAAAAAATGTTTTGATTATTTTGCTATTCTACATTTTCACACGTAGAATGATCTCCTGTCGATTATTTAGTGCTGCCCAGTCTGGAATAAGCCATGTTCAAGTATACTTGATAAATGTTCAAACTCGATTTTCTCGGAAACCAAGCCAAAAAATGAAAAAACGTTATTTTACGTCTATTTCTTATTTTTCCTCGAGAAGTCGTGTCATGCCCACTGTTGTGTGCTGTTCAGCCGGATCCTGTACGAGTCACACAAACTTTGGATCAGCTAGATTACATATATATGTAGTAAAGCTGGGTTAAAAACACGTGCAAGCGTACGAAAATCGCAAATCAACTGAATCTCTCGTCTTTATGCTGCTGTCACGTTGAAGACACAGGGAGAGATGAAATTAAGAAATCGTTTCCTCGCGTCGTTCGAATGATTTCGTCCAGGTTTAAATGTTTCACGAGCAAGGTAAGACACATTCAGACTTTAGATATGGTGGCAGAGTTTATTATGTGAAATCAACAGAGTGACGGTTAAGAATGTTAGAACAGAGTGTGGAGAGTTGATTTTGGGAAGGTTTATATACTATGGGTTTGGCTCTTATGGAGGGGATGTCACGATGGTGTCGCCGGGCTGCAGGTCAGAGGTAGCCATGCTGTTACTGTCTTCTGACCCTGGAACACGGTCTACGTTGCTGTTTCGATGCCCTGCACGATGTTCGTTAGGCCCCCCCCCCCCCTGGTTTTTCTATTGCTAATTTATGGCTCCGTGACACTGCTAATGATTTTAGCACACCGTTTATTGAATACGCAAATTTATTTTCGCGAAACACTCGAAGATTATGTGTTACTATTCCATTTACTATTTTGCTAAACTCATTACACGTAAGCAATATTGCACATATCTCTATCGTTCTGTGTAATTTTATAAAAAGCATATGTTCTGTTTGTATAAATAAGCATGTATGAAAAACAGTGTAATATTGTCGTTTCTTACGCAGGTGAAAAGCTGCTGCCCAGTGAAAAATATAAAATGTCAGAATACGCGTTGAACGACTACTCTTGGCAGATGAATCTTACTGTCAATTCTCTGGAAAAAAGGGACTTTGGAGAATACGTTTGCTCGTCCGTAAACGCTCTTGGAAAAGCTGATGGTATCGTTCATTTACAAGGTAAATTTTCACAGAATATGACATACATACATATAGCGAAACAAGTTAAAAGTTGATGGTTTCTGTGATTTAAAGAACAACAGCCGTAAAGTATTTTAATCTATTAGTAAAATGTATTAATTTATCTATGGAAAAACTTGTAAATATTTGATAAGAGAAGTGGAAAAGACTATACTGAAAGTGATGTTTAATCTACAGGATTAGTATAAGTTTTAATCGGTCGATTGAAAAAATCTATAGGATTAAAAATATTATACGATAAGATTGTAGAAAATAAAGAAGAATTCGAAATCAAGATATTTTCTTCAAGTTCAGCTCTTTATCCCAAAAGATTATACGTGTTAAATATTACCATAATTTAGATATAGGCGATAAATAATGTGTCTACATATTTCTATAAAATACCAAGTTAAATACCGTTTTTAGTAAATTCTTAAAATACAATAAGAGTCAGATACCGTAAGTGTCACGTAGAAGACACAGGAAATCACGAAATTAACAGATCACCGGTGGTCTCCTCGCGTCGTAGTTCGAACGTTTCGCAAGCAAGGTAAACAATTCGGACCTTAGATATGATAGTAAAATTTATCGTACGAATTCAATAGAGTAGCGATTCACGGTGTTATGACAAAAGAGAATTGAGTGCTGATTTGGGAGGGTTTTTATACTAAAGTTCTGTCCCTCTGGAGGGGTTATCGGCGGGTGTCTATCAGACGTGGCTATCCTGTTTCTATTTGGTTACTGTTTCGATGGCTGTGGCACGCAGAATGTTTTGTCTATTCTATTACTGTTTCTGAGCCTGTGACATAAGCGTCGATGTGTTACATCTCTGACAAAAAATTAATTTAAAGTTACCGTGCTTTAACAGATAGAATACAATTCTAGCAAAATTTGTTGTCTTATTTTCCTTCGAATGGGACTTCGAATTCGAACGAGACTCACATAAGCAGAAGTTTCAAGTAATTAACATAGTATCAGCATTAGAATTAAGAAACATCTGGACTTAAAAATTCCATATCGTTAGATCGATTGTGACAATTCCATGATTCGATGGTCAATTGATTGTGAATATTGATTCTTGTCTCTTTAGAGATTTAACTAACTAGCATATTTTGGGGAAAAAATTTGAACAATTATACATACAATTATACAAACGAGACTTCGAAACGTCACGAAATTTATTCTGTCTGTTCCTAAATAGTTAAAGAGCGTTCAGCTGTTCAATACTTATTAATTAATTAAGTTAATATTTAACACGTTGACTGCCACGACACCCGTATTCGGGTGTCAGCAAAGTTTCTGGTCACGCTACGTAACCCATATTCGGGTGTCGCTTATTTGACTACTTGCGAAAAATCGTCGTAGGTATTTGAAAAGATATTGTACTGTACGCGTGGCCTGACAGAGATTTCTTTGAAAACACGCGTGGCAGTCAACGTGTTAAGGTCCACAAGGCGCCTCTAGACGATGAATCAATAAATGTACACATATTGTATATTGTCAATACAATACAATGTCGAGAAGCTTATATATTGACAATAATATTGACAGTAATATTAATCGTCCGAACGCTCATTTACTTATTATTAATAAACTTCTCGAATTTATGAGGAACAATGAATACTTATCTTCAGTAGCAATGAATACAGAAAATCTGAAAAATATTATTCAAATAGCAAATATCATTGTTAACCATATGTCAACTAAAAAAGCCATCAACTTTTAATTTATTGCCCTGGTTCAGAAACTGTCTCGTGTATACGAAAATCTATCATAAAATTATCTAGAAAAATTATCACGTTTTGCTTCATCGAACTGTGTAGGCGTTTTGCAACACTATCATACATTTGCATTACGTTCTCGTGACTGTTTGTGCACATTAGTTTACAGACAGCGTATACGAATTTTTCCACAAAGATTTCCCTACAAATTACATCTTACTTCTATTCAGAATAACAATATGAATATTAGTTGTAGGTGATTTTTCTATAATACCATACACAAACTTTCATGTCCATATTGTAAGTGTCATATAAAATATTAAAACATTTCATTAGCTCTATAATGAGACATAACTGTCGTAATTATATTAGTAAAATTTCAAACTATTCATATGTACATAGAGAGTATAAAACATTTATTGCAAACATATATTTAGTAAACAATTAGTACACAGAACGAATAAGCATCTTAAGCATATAAGTGTTAAATGTAGTTATATGCCATTAAATGTAGGGGTTTGTTAATATAAAGGATAATTGATCGTTTAAATACTTTTGTGGTTTCTACGAAACATATTGCACTTGTAATTCCTTTTTATATTTTCAGATTTCTTTCAAACGCTCGACACAATTATAATAGTAGAGTTTCGTAACTAGAAGGTGGATGTTTGTAAAATTTATGTTAAAATGTGCAAAGTTCATGCAAAATATATACAAAAGCTGGGTAAAATATATGCAAAATTTATTAACAATACTAATATGATAAAACATTGTACAACATTTTATATTTTAGATTAGGAATGTGATTTTTTTAATTAAAACACATATTCTGGAAGAACTTTATAAGTTTGATATGAAAATATCCAATGGAATGAAAAATGATTGGATGTAATCCGAAAACATACAGTTTAATATATAATAGAAAACATTATCATAAACATAATATATGATGCGTAGGAATCATTCCATAGTTTTTTTTTTTTTTTAATATTTCACATTCACAATTTGTCCAATTTGGACATTTGGTAGAATTTTTTTAGCTGTTTGACTATCATGTGGGTGGCTACCCCCAGCGGGGTACCGTCTTCGTGTTTGTTAGGTTATACCCTTTATGAGAATTCCATAGTTGTTATTTATTATTTAGGGTAATTTACATTACAATATGTAACAATAACTGCTTTCATAGTTTTAACTAATCAGTTGGTACTTCTTATCGGACAAAATTAATTTATAAGCCGTGAATGTTCTCTCAACGTATCTGAACTCTTACCGATATTGTGCTTCTATTTCGTTTCGATTTTCAACAAGTGAACCACTGAAGATGTTATTAAATTTGTATTTATTGTTATTAAATTAGTACAATATTTTAAATGCCACATTTATCTGGAGAACATGTTTATATTTTGTCGTACAAGATATTTTCGACAGAATCTACAACAAATTTCACTGATTCATTCAATGATAAAGTTTTTAAGTCTTAAAGTCTTAAAGTAAGGATTTTAACGAAAAATGTTTCAAATAAAAGCTAGATAGTTTCGAGAGGGACATAATTTGACGCGATTTGTTTCTTTGTAGAAAGGTTCATAGAAGACATATGAAGGTCAAGTTTGTTTTCAAAAAGTATGTATTAAGGTACAATATCGAGAAAATCTACAGTTCGACAGATATTTTAAATTTAAAAGTGAGATGTCGCAGATTTCTATATGAAGTGGACAATCGCACATTGCACTTTATGCTTTGTTGGACAGAATGTTTCGAAGAATCGGTCTATCAAAGAAAAGGACGCAAGTTTCGTGTAAAAAAAGTGTAGCTGTACAGTTTCGTATAAAAAGAGAATACAGTTTATGTTTTTTAAGCGATTTGTGTATTTGTTATTATGTGTCAACCCTATGGATGACACAAGATCTTTTGTTTCTATCGAATGTTAAAAACTCTTTTCTAAGTACATATATCTACATGTACGTACAGGATGTTAATTTTAAATCGGCCATCCAAATTAGTTTCATTTTTTTTTTAATTTTCGCTACGATTAAGGCAAGAAAGAGTGACTAAGAAGGTTTTTAATGGTTTCAAAGTGTATATCTAACGATGATAAAAACATTATGTGAAGGTCATCTTGACAGTATTTACAACATCATCAACTTATTTTCACTTAACATTTCACTTAACTTTACTCCTTTTTAACTTAATTATTTACGGATTTGTTATTCTGTCCATGAAATGAAGAATTTGTTTAATCTTGAAATTTACTTTCCGTTATTTAAAATTTTCTTTTGTTTCCATATCTAGAACTTTTTCTAATTAGGAAATCTTTATCTTTAGCCTCGAAAAATGAAAATCCTTCTCGTTTTTAAAATTACTAAGCAACAATTGATAATCGTCGTACAAAGCGACTATTGATAACTATACCGAGTACGATACATGTCACCGATTTCGATGGCAAATGGATTCAAATATATTGTGGAAGTCAACATTGTGAGTATCTTTTTTCTGTACATACATATAACCATCACTCGTTAACTTTCGAGATATTCGCAAACAACTTTGAAAGTTGAATCAAAGTTAGAATTACAGTACATTCTAGCGTAGGCAGCTGTATATTTTCAGCAAAGAGCAAAATTCAACCGATACAGTGCTCTTTGTAGAAAATCATAATTTATTTATAAATCACGATAAGGAATGAAAAGAACACATATATTAATTTACATCTGCTTTTCGTTAATAAACGTATAAAAATTTTATTACGTTCCATTTAGTTCACTAGGTATATAAATACACTTTTGATTGCATTTTGGAGCGTACGAAAAAGAAATAGAAATAAGAGTTTTAAACGATTACAATATTTTGTACATGACCTTCCACTTAAAACGGCTGCAATTTGTCTTGGTATTCTGTCAACCAAATTTGTGCTTACTTCTTGAGAGATTGCATACCTTTATTTTTCGCCTCTTTCCTTTCTAATTCTCGTGATTTATGGTGTTTGATCCTAGAGTGGTGACTTATCCAAGTTGTATCGACTGATAGTGACGGTGACAGGATCATCTGTCTGTTACGACAGTCTTGCCAATGATTTTCTTTGATACCACGGTGGCCGTGATCAGCTCCGAAGGTAAAGTCCCCCATCTTAGTGGTTTGGTGTTGGATTCGTGGCGATACTGGTTTATTGCCAACTGTTGGTCTGATGGGCCGATGAGGTTGCTAGGGGCAGACTTTGTGCCTCCCCAGGGATCTTCAGCGGATGAGCAGCGTACCACCTAAACCAGTACCGTCCTAGGGAGA